TCTCTCTCTCTCTCAAAAATAAATAAATGTAAAAAATAAATAAATAAAAATAAAAAATATCCAAAGAAACGAGCAGTGGCTGAGGCCACTGACTGCCATGACTGGGGCCCTAGCTGGGTCTGTTGCTGTGTGACTTCAGATAAATCACTCCACCTCTCTGAGTCCCACCGCCCTCATCTGACCCACCAGAGATGGGGGCCCACCACACAGCAGGTGCAGCGTAAATGGTGCACTGGGAAGCAGCAGTGTCCTGGCCGGCCAGGCAGAGGCCCCACGGGGCCACTCACCCTGCTGTCTTTGGGGCCGAGTGGGCAGGCCGTGGGGCCCTCCAGACTCAGGTCATCACCCAGCAGGATGGAGGAGGACTTGTCTGAGTTCAGGGAGAAGGCCTCCGTCTCGGCCAGCTGCACCTGTGGGGAGGGGCGGCGGCCTCAGTGCGTCCCTGGGGCAGGGATGGGGCAGGTGCGGTCCTCCGGAAAGGCACGGGCAGGTGGTTGGGGTGCAGAGACCTGCTGAGCGTGGGCGCTATGCCACCACGCTCAGGGAGCCCGGTCCGGGCAGGGGGTGGGGGTCAACACGATGGCATCACAACCGGCAGCGTGCCAGGCCTGGGCTGGGCCCAAGGGCGGGCTTGTTGCCGTGGGCTGCGAATGCTGCAGCTGGCCCACTTGCCCCCAGACCCAGTGCCCCTCGAAGCTGGCCGGCGTTGGCCAAGTGGGCCCAGGCTGTTCCCTCGGGCTGGCCCCCACCGCCAGGCGCCAGCTCCCTCCGAGGCTGCCCTCACCTCTTGCTTGTCGTGGTGACACTTCTCGCAGCCGGCCGGCGAGGAGTAGTGATGGAAGATGGAACCGGACAGGTTGTCAATGATGGTCAGCTCCCCCTCCAAGGAGTCCTTGATGATTAAAGAGACGCTGTCCAGCCACAGGTTCTCCTAGGCGGACGGGGACGGGGTGGGGACAGGCGGGATTATCGGCCGGGTCCGGGGACTGTGGGGTGGGCGAGGCTCGGCCGCCCTCCCGGTTCTCTGCGCCCGTGGCGTGGGCCCGACCCCCTCGTCACAGGGTCGCCCCTTCGGCGGGGCAGAGCAGGCCGGGGCCCAAACGACCGAGGTCTCTGCCTGAGGCCTCGGAGGCCCAGCTGCCCCTCCAGCCCCGCAGTGCCGCCCTCGGTGACCCTCGCGCCCTCTCCACCCCTGCCCACCTGGGCCGGAGAGTAGCAGCGCCGGCACAGGCGGCCCTCGGCGTCACCCCCGCCGCCCGGCCCGCCCGGGCCTCGGCCAGGCGCCCCCGGGGAGCTGGTGGGCGGCCGCGGGCTGGGACCCAGGCCGTGGGCCATCTCGAGCTCCAGCTCGGCGTCCATCTCGGCGTCCTCCTGGGCCTCCTTGTTGCTGTCGTCCAGGTGCTTCATGAGCACGGCCACCACCACGTTGATGAGCACGAACTGGGCCGTGAGCACGAAGCTGACGAAGTACAGCGGTGACACAAACTGCAGGCTGCTCAGGCAGCTGCGCTCATCGTGGGTGCAGTCCCGCAGCGTGTCCTGCGGCGGGTGAGGGCCAGTGAGGGCCGGTGAGGAGCCGGGGCCCCATCCCCTCCCTCCTGCGCCAGGTGAGGGGCCGGTGAGGACCTGGGGCCCCATCCCCGCCCTCCACGAGCCCCTCCCTGCCCAGTCCAGGCCAGACTGGGGCCACAGCCAGAGAGTCTCTGCCAGGTGAGGAGCAGCTCCAGGGCCTGGACCCAGGAGGAGCGAGGCCTGCAGCCCCAGCCCCGGGCTATGGGCCCCAAGTCCTGGCCTCGGGCAGAGTCGTGTCCCCTAGACGCGGAGCACCAATCCCGGAGTGGCAGTTAGGAGCTGACAGAACGCATCCTGGGCTCATCGCCACCTCGCTGAGCTTTAGAGCCCCAGGCGGGTCCCTCTGCCTCCCTGTGCCCGGCACTCCCCTCTCGTATACAGTGGGATGCTGGGCAGGCAGGGGTCCCAAGAGCGAGCGCTGTCAGGAGCCTTGCTCCCAGAACCCAGACTGGTTTCTCTCTCCCCACGGGTACCTTCATGATCCCATTCCAGTTATCGCCAGTCGAGACCTGGAAGAGTGTGAGGAAGGCCATGCCGAAGTTCTCGAAGGTAGCATGCCGGCTCATGCCCTCGCATGGGTTCTCATCATTGCAGACTGAGAGAAGAGAGGAGGTCAGCCCTGTCTCACTGCAGAGTCCCCTGCCTGGCCCACCCTGCACCCGGGCCTCCCGGCCCCGTCTCGGAATCCCCGATCCTCAGAAGCGCGTGTGGACCGTGCCCAGCCCGCAGATGGAGAAACTGAGGCTCAGGGAGGGCTCACACAAGCTGGCACTCAGACTCCGGTGAGCCTGGCTCCCCGCCCCCTCCCCCCACTCATATATCAGGTCCTCAGAGAGAGGATACAGGGGTGAGGGCCAGCCCCCAAGGGAGCATCGCTTTCTGAAACCAGCCCTGTGCAGGGCTGGGTCGGCATGGACTATGTTGCCCTCGGCCTGTGCCCTGCCCGCTCTGCTCTCCAAGTCAGGGGTCTGCTGCAGAGGCCTGGAGGATGCAGGTGGGTCCAGGCTAGCATCTCTCAAAAGCTACTACCCATCCCCGGGGGAGGGTGTAGATGGCTGAGGGTCACCTCAGGATGGGGCATCTCCCCACCACCGAGACCCTGATGTGACGCTCTGCGGGTGTCTCAGGCTTCCCCACCCTGCCAAGGCCCTCCTCCAGGCCTGTTCCGCCCCCCGCCACCCCCCACTCCCACCAGCCCAGGTCTGCTTCCGGAGTCACTCACCCAGCTTCCCGAAGAGCTCCACGCCGAGGGCGGCGTAGATAAAGAAAAGCAGCATGAAGAGAAGGCCCAGGTTGCCCACCTGTGGGGAGAGCAGGCGGGGCGGGGCCAGCCTGAGGGTCAGGCTCCAGTGCCCATGTCTGCCACCCCGCAGTGACCTCCCCGGGGGAGGCCGGGTCCCACACGGGGCACAGAATAGTAACAAAACGCTTGTGCAGCCTTTCCCGTGGGCGGCTGGTTCAAGCGCCTCGCGTTCATCGGCTCGTTCACCCCACACGACCATCCGTGAGCTACGTTTTACTCCATTCTGAAGACAGAGTCATACTGAGTGGTGAAGTGACTTGCCCAAGGTCACACAGCTAGTAAGTGGCAGGACTGGGATCCAAACCCAGCAGGCTGACCGTAGGCTCACAGCTGCCCCTCCACACACCTGTGTGTGGTGGGTACCGTCCCCTGCCTGAAGGCAGAGAGGGAGGCAGGGAAGTCTCAGCAACAGGGGTGCCTCCTCCCCGAAGCCCTCCTGGATCCCTCCAGTCTGACAGTGTGCGTGTAACCGGGGGACCCCTGTCCCTGTCCTCTGCTGGTCTGAGAAGTCCTTGAGAGCAGGGACATGGCTGGATTAAGTTGCATCTGCCGCCTCAGGCCAGCACGGGGCCTGGCCGTGGAGAGAAGTGCACACAGGAGTCGTGCGGGATTGTGAGCCCCAGAAGCTTCCTGCAAAACCCAGCCACCCCCATCCCACAGCTCCTGTGGGAACAAAACGTCCCAGATGACAAACCTATTTCAAATCTATCCATACACCGGAGACCACCTTTAACTCAGCCAATGGTTAAGACAAGGCTTGAACATACTCTTGCCCTGGAAATGGAATACCTCCTAGAGCGCTCAGAAGGCCTGCACGAACAGAATCAGAAGGGGGTTTGCGTCGACTGCTACAGGGTAAACCACGTTAGCCACAAACTCCTATCGTTCCTCTGCTCCAGAGGAGGATTTCCTTCTGAGCTGCTCTACAATCCTGCCAATTGTGTCCGACTAATTAAAAGATGCCCTATTCATTAACAGTATGAGCACTTCTTAAGCAGCTACAAAGCAAGGCACTGGGCACGGCCCTGGCCCTCGGGTCAGCCTCCCTCCCTACGCAGGCCCAGGTGAGCCGCGCTTCTGAACCAGGACGGACGTCACCTTCCCCATCAAGCCCTCCCTCCACCTCCAGCATCTCCCTGTGCTCGCACGGCTGCGGCAGCCTTCTCACTGGCCTCCCTGCCCCCAGCCTCTCCTGCAACCCACTCGCCTCACGGTCAGTAGAGCAACCTTCTAAAAGGCAGCTCTGCCTGAGGCCTCCCTTGTCCAGAACCTCTCGTGATGCCCACTGCCCACAGGGTGAAGTCCAAGTTTGCTGTCCTGGCATCGAAGCCCTTTGTGACCTAGCCCTGTGGGCCCCTTCCCGGCCTAACCTTCCAACCCCAGACTCCAGCCACACAGAAATCAGATGCCATTTGCACAGTCTGTTCCCTCTGCAGGGAGAACCGTCCCTCTGCCTTTGCCTGGTAAATGCCTCTGCCCCACCCCTCAAAGCCCAGGTCACAAGTCACCTCCTCTGAGAAGCCTGCCTTGTTGCCGCCTCCCTCTGCATCGGGCGGGGCTTGGCGGGAAGTGTCACTTTCATACCACTTTATATAGAATGGAGGAGGAAAGGTCAGCTAACAGATTATGGGGGATTAAGGTGCTGATGTAATTCTAATGACTATTATGTTTCCTACTTGAAGCTGGGTCCTCCTGGGCATCTCCGTGTGCCCTGTCCAAGCTCAGGATTGCCTAGGGGTCAGGGCATCGGAAAGGCGGAGGAGGAAGGCATGAGGAAGGCATAAGGAAGCCAGGGAGGCTGGGGCCTCACGCTCCCCACCCCCATCCCTAGGGAATCTTACAGGGCGCCTCCTATAACCCAAGTCCTGAGCCCTGCTTGATGAGCTTTAATTGATTGTTTCACACAACACCCCTCGAGATAAGCCCTGTTATTATTCCCACTTCACAGGCAAAGAAACCGAGACGTGA